TCACGGCTAGTTAGGGTTACAACCCTTTGAAACTATTACTGTTAATTATTATTTAAAATGTGAAGTTAGTCTGTTCCTAAATACAAAATAAAGGGTCAGCAAACATATCCGTATCACATGTACTTCTCAAATCATTGTAGCTTCTACATTTGTTCTACACAAAGGGCAAATGCAAGATCTTAGAAATAGGACATCTGGGATCGTAATAAATAACATTGGTAACTGCACTTAGTCTGTCCCTGGGTAACGCAGTTTGCATTCAGAATGGATTAATACGAGTTTCGCGTGTTATGATTTAGTAACGTCTACGAAGTTTTCCGATATTCCTTTGTGTTTATTGCACGTACTGAACTCTATGCAAGTCGTTACACTTGCTTTTTACTAGATTTTATCTCTTGAATTTGCGGCATTTAAAACGAACTTGAGTTTCGAGTTCTGTGTAAGTTGGCGATTTGGCTGTAGGCGTGTTGTGTGAGAAAATATTACACTGTGTAGCTAATGGAACGTGCTAAGGCCACAAATTGGATGACAGCGTGCGGTGGCGACAGCGATGTGGGCATGGTAATATGGGCAATAGTAGCCCGTTCTCGACTCCAGAGGCCAGGAGTCTGATTCTCAGATTTTTAAACTTATGTCTATTTCGACTTTTGTCGATTAACATGAAAGTCGATCGATTCTAAAATTTCAATTCTCACATACTTTAGACACAAATGTCAAGCATCCGGAAATATCTATACGTTTTTTAGTGAATCATGTCGCAGCTTTGCATTACTGACATATTGAGAGGTGAATTATTTTAAATTAGTTTTAACGGCTTTAGTGTCAAGCCATACAATGCTGATGAGATACCGAACGAACCAACGGATCTTATGTTGCAGGTACCTTTACAGCATAGGTTTCCAAACCTTTTTGGTTCACCTAGGTACGATAAAAATATTTCAATGCCACGAAAAATAATTGAAAACATGTATTTTTTATATTAACTTAATGAAATATTTGTAGCGCGTAAAACAATAACTTTATCAACATTTGTAACAATAGTTCCGAAGTTTACCGCTAGATGACATTGGCATAGAAAATGCAATGTCTGAATCGCGGTGCCTAAGATTTTCCCAAATGTAATGACCTGTCACTAGTATTTTGTATGAAATTGATCTGATCTATTCTTCAACTTGTCTATAGTTGTAATTGATCGATTCAACGATTGCATTTTACGGTTGTCCTCATTGCTAAGGAAGCATCTCGAATTCGAGCCCATCTTTCGGGGCAGGTTAAGAGAACGTCTCTGAGTGAGTGTCTTTTTGGACAATTCGCACCCACCGGGACTTGTCGCGCTTGCATAGTTTACATACATAATTTAGATTTTTTTCTTCAAATGTGATAGCACACCCTGGATAGCATCAACACCTCCCAATTGCTATCGCCTCCAAGGAGTCTTCAGCGCCCGTTCGCGGGCGGTAGGGACCACTTTGGGAAACTATACTTTACAGAGACCAGCGTCCGACTAAAGATGTTGTTTTAATAATTTAATAATATTAATAGTTTATTGGATATTTTACTACATGTTTTTATAGTGCTTTTTATGGTATCAAGTGATGGCACGAACAAGTCGTGCGCCTGGTGGTAAGCGGTAGCCTATTCTTAAGGACTCATTCATGATGATGAGCAGGCGCGAGCGCGGCGATGGATGCGGGCACGCGGGTCTTGGTGTCTTCCCTTCCACAGTGCCGAAGCGGCTACGAGTGGGTAGATCCACACGTCAATATCACAAACACGTCGGATCGAGGCAACAGAACTAACTAACTAGTCGGTCGCACTCAGAGCCTTAAGTCCCAAAGAATAATAACAATTGACAAGTCCCATGTACCTGTAATATGTCTGGTGTTTATTTAATTAACTTTCTTCATCTGTACGTGAAAGGTAAAGAACCTTCCCTGCCAAATAGTAATATATACTACATGGAGTTTTAAAGAGGTTCTTAATTATGCTAATTAGGCTCTTAATTAATTTATGAATTAGGCATTTAAAATCAATCTTAGGGATAAAAAAAATATGTTAAATAAATAAAAAACAAACGACCGACAGGTTTTTTCCAATGCGTGATTTTTTTGTGTTCTAAAATGGTTCTAAAGCAAGTTTGTGAAAACATCTAAATGTCAAACAAAATATGGATAGGTCGTTAACCTCTCAAGTACAAAAATCGAAACTTAGGATATGTCATAGATCAAAATGTAACTAGACGTAAATTTGACAGAACATGATTATAACGTTTTAACCGACTTAAAAAAGGAGGAGGTTCTCAATTCGACTGTATGTTTGTTTTGATGTTACGCGATAACTTAATAACTTAGAAAAGAGGCTACCTCAGTAATGGTCCCATTTCATTTTGAAGAAAATTCGTGCATGAAGGCTTATTTTTGTAAATAGCGCCAAAATTTTATAAGGAGCAATTATTTTAATGGTTGATTTTGCTATGCTTCAATTGAAGGGGTTTTTTTAAGCAGTGAAAGTTAAATCTTGACGGACTAGGGGATGAATCCGGTTTTGTGCACTTCCGGTAACCGATTTCAATACAACTTGGCAAATAGAAGTAATTCCATGATCTTTTGCGTCGGGTTTTTTATACTCCGTACTGAGATTATTATTAAAAATAAACCGACTCAAAACTCTGTGGAATTACATCTATTTACCATTATTTATTGAAATCGGTTTACGGAAACTAGGTAAAATCCAATAATCCGGATTCATATTCTAGTTTGCTCAGAGGTGGAATATTTTATTAAAAGAAGGATGGTGAAAGCTGACCCAAAATCAACGAAATGCCGTTCATGGACTTTGCAAGTATAATTTAACGTTTTAGTTTATGCCTAGTTATTAATATATTTTTGTATATTTTTAGAAGTCGGGAATAAAGAAATTTCAAAACAATGTACCTATTTTAGAATAGATGAAAGAACAACGCAATTGGTTCAGATCGGCCATAGATTAGGTAACGCTCTTATACGTACGTTTGATAGTAAACATGATTGAATGTTTACCTACCCAAAGTTTTGATTATTTTATACTACACACATAAAACATTAAAGCTATAAAACGCCTAATTAAATAATCAATTAAACAATAATGAATATAAAGTAAAAAAATAAAACACAATGTGACAAAAATGTTTAGACAATATTTAAATGAGAGATACGAAAGTTAGCTAAGGAACGTTTTGACAAGAGGCCTCTTGCCAATGTCAATGTCACTTTGAGATTGAGAGTGTGTGTGAGTGTGATCATTTGTGGAAGATTTCTTCCATTTGGACAGATTTAATTTTTATTCAATTTCATTGCTACAGAACATGTTAACGTTTTGTATTTAATGTGGCAGAGTTTGGCAGATTTAGGAATATTCAGAAAGTTCTTTATATTTTTAGGAACAAACTGAAAACTTGTTGTTTTCTGCTACTACGAACAAACATCTAAAGCGAAATACATGACTATGTTATAAACATAACATATATCAAAATTTATAGCCCCCAGCTTCTACAGGCTGTACTCAATTAGCTTTTTTGATGCTTTGATAATGAATAACAAGTATTGATAGGTCTCTTTAATGCAAGTCGTCAAAAACACTGGGTCACAAAATACACGGGATGTCGCCACCCTACTTTGAATAAGACTACTACTGAGGTATACCCTTTCAAACAGAAAAGAATCAACGAAATCGGCTCTCGTTAAATAGGTTAAAAATAAAGAGAACCAGCCCCCCTAGCATGGCTAGGCATGATAGTCGCGATGTGCGCGATAAAATTGAAATAACCGCGCGCTATTGATTATCTAAATTAGATCTGATTAAGACAGCCAATAACGCGCGCTTATTTCACTTTTATCACGCGTGTTGTGACAATCATGCGTAATGCTACGGGGGTAGATCGCGATATAATCTTGAACATTAATAAACAACTGACGGCCATGATTTTTCTTTTGAGTTATATATAAATGTTAGAAAGAAGTTGGAAATGCGATCTATCTGGTGTTAGATTACTTATTCTATTTTTAAACCATTTGTTCGCTCTTGTTATATCTTATTTCATTATTCTTACTGTAGTATGAATCATAAATTAGATGTTAAAAATGTAAACAAAGTGGATAACCGAGCAAAGACTGCATTTTAAATGGTAGTTTCCTATTTTAGACGATAATAAACCCTTCGAACTCTTTTCCAGCTGTAATATGATAAAACGTAGAACAATTAATATAGATTTTTACTTAATTTCGTCGAATACAATAATTTTATTAAAATACTATATTTAAGCTCATAAATAATTTTGACACTGGTAACACAATGAATCGATGTTGTTGCCATGTTGATCAAAAACAAGGCAACAATAATCATAGCCTTCCCCAATCCATCACCGGGTGACTAGACGTAGCTTTCGGTTCTACCCTATGTTGTGAATATACCAAGGATTCACATGAAGCGTTTTGCTTCCACATTTATAATGGTGAACGGCTATGGAGTGGAATTATCTGCCTGTAGACTTATCCCCTGGACGTTATAAGTTGGGCCTTCTCAAGGCGAGAGTGAACAGGCATTATTTAGGTGTGCATGCTCCGTTGTCGACCTTATCGTTACTTACCATCCGGTGAGATGGAGTTCAAATGAGTACAAATGTATGCTATAAAAAAAGTCTATGTTATACATTGACTTACGAATAAATGGACGACGGGTCTAATACAAAAACCACGAAAAAAATGTCCCAAGTCAACCTATTTAAACGTAGTGACATGTAAAGGAATATGAAAAAGCTAAAACGTTGAATTTAAATTGTAATGTCATCGCAGTACTGTCTAATTTTGCTTGCTTCGCTGTCAGTCGAACAAATGAAGACTAAAGCGTGAATGACGCTCTGTATACGATTTTAACGCCCTATAAGTTCGGACACTTTTTAGCGCAGACCCGACGTCCATATAATTGTAAGTCAATGATGTTATAAAAAAAAAAAAGGCACGTACATGGTCCCAGGGTGATTACTGAGCGGGGCTTCGACGTAAGAAACATGTTTTGTTCGCCTCGTCTTGGGTCGGTACTCGAGCTTGTTCGCACACCCCTTGTTCGCCTTTGTTCGCGCCTCGAAGATGACATGAGGGTGTTTCTGCTGAAACAAAGCGGAAAGTACGGTATTTGATTAGTTAGCTTGCTTTGTAAGACCTTGCTGACAGGTTTCTATTTTTTCAAGACCAACAACGGAATAAACATCTAACTTAAATAATATTAAGTTGAATATTGAATATCACGATTTTTACTATCATGATATTGATTTATTTTTTGTGATATTACTCCACTAGTTTGTTATAATTGCTGATACAAAGTTAGAACACTGACAAAAATTCCTTCGCTCCAGCAAAAGAAGCAGTTAAAAATAAAAACAAAGATCTCCAACAAGGGAATAGAAAAATTCGTAAGGTCCGCCGGTTCGTTCCGTAGCTCAGGCACGGTATGCTGAAAACGCTGGTTTGAACTGCATCGAAGGAATTTTTCTTAGTGTTAAGAAATATGTAATTTAAAGTTTTAATATCATGATTTTCACATATACAGCTCAGTATGTTAAGAGTGATGTCTCCATCTCAAAAGACACTTGTTCAAGTTCAGTTAGATCGAAGGGATTTTTCTTTGTGAACGAGCTTTAAATTAATAATAATCTAAGTAGAAAGCAAATCTGAAATTCAAAGTTAAATTTCAAATCCTACATAACAGGTACAATTTATGCATATCTTTGCATTTTGATTTCAGAAGTTCAGAATTGTTTCAGAAAGTATATCGTTTTTGTGAAAAAACAAACAGGATGTAGGATTGTGTGTTTTACCCCGAGCTTTGCCTTGTCCGAGAGGCTTATGTATATTTTCATATACAATATTTTCATAATTAAACCTTCTTTACTCAAATTCTCCAATTGAAAATATTCCAATTAGCAGTTTAGGTCCAAATAAACAGTAAACAAAATAAAAAAAAGAAATCAAATTCGAACTTAGTTCCAATAAAACTTTTGTTTCAAAGTTCAACGTCCCAGACAAATGTCCTAGATGTCCTTATAACACGACCAATGTGACTAGCTTCTCTGAAAAGAGCTCTGGCAATACGATTAAAGCGATCTCATTTTAGTCGGTTAAACGAACTTTAATAGGGGCTTAGGTAGATGAACTGTAGAACAGTGAAATGAATATTTTACTAAAGCGGAATTTTAAGAATGAACCAGACTATAAATATTAGATCTCAACCCGTGCGAACAAAGATGCATGTTAATAGTTTAAAATTAACTTCAGAAATGAATATTCTCAGTTCATGGAATAAATGCGAGTACCTATGGTATAACAATGGTTTTCGGGTGTTGTTTGGGCTGCCGCGGTTCTTCAGAGTGTCAGGCATGTTTGTACACATCATTATGTGCAGAAAGTCAGTCTCACAGCTCTGCAGATTGCGTGCCAGCTCCAACTTAATGCTCGAAATTATTGTCAGGAGAATTCGCTCTTCTTTTATGAAGCAACTTTTTTTTGATGCGAGGATTAATGAGAGAATGAGAGAATTTACTTTTAATTTTATAATTTTGATAACTTTTGATAAGATTTGATTTGATAACCTAATTTTTATATTACTAACAAATGTGGACTTCTCGTTTATCTAAAAATAAAAATTATTATTACTATTATTAAAAGGTCCAGGCCTTTTTTCATATTCCCAAAATTAACATCGTTTAAAAATATTGCGTTCATCGCACGTTTTGCAGAATAGTTCTATTTTATTAGATCATCACGGCGACGTGTCAGTCCGATCATCCCGACTGTCTCATTAATTCTTCAAACACGAAAAAACGAAGACAGAGACAGCTTGCAACGGGAACTACCTCCAGATTTCCAGCTAACCAATTTACATACTCTACATTTACAGCTTCGTGATTCAAATTTCAAACGACTTAACTTCTGTGTTGCTATCCACGGTATGCTTCAATATTGCCATATGAAAGGCAAAACGGAAAAAAATCATGCTTGTTAACTGTCCATTGAAAGACGATAGGTAATTCTATAGTTATTCGTAACGTTATTGTAAAGCAAGCAAATTTAAAAATTGTGAACATGGAGAATTTTGATAATAACAATATTTTACGTAAAAGCTGTGAGTTATTCAGGAACGGCAATGAATGTACTTTCACAAGCCTAAAATTTATGAACCAAACACGCGATCGGAGTTACGTGCACCGTTTAATTAACACGGCTACAACGCCGTTTTCATATCATATTTTCCCCAAAGCACAAATAGATATAAGATACAAGCGCAATAAACGATGCTAATTCACCGCAAAACCTTTATGTTTTCCCCATTTCTACCGTCAATGATGATCCTGCAAAGCTTTTTTATTTTGCAGCCTTTTTTGGAACTTCTGCGGCGACGCCAGTGTTGCTAACGTGGCGGGCGATGAGAAATGGCGTCAATTTAGCGGGCAAACGCTGCCAAATTGGGTATTTCTCACGGAACCTTTTGCCTGCTGTTTCGTGTGTTTGCCGGTCAACTTTGTTTTTAGACGCCATTTTTTTTGTTGTGGATTGTTTAACACGAGCTTGATGAAGGTAACAAAGGATTTTCGCCTCGAGGATCAGACAACTTTGCTGCTTTTACAGATATCACAGCGGAAACTCATGTGAAGAACAAACTTTGAGCCATCTTATCTTTCAGTCTTGCTTCACCTTTTACGCGTATTTTTGCTGGCTATCATAGAGACAACAAAAAACTTTGAAGCCATGTTAACGATATTTTCATAATTATTATAAACACAAAGACGGAAAAAAAAAAATAAATTCAATTCAGCTGTTTCGAACCAGCGCCTTCACCATAGCGTGGAGCTTTCCTAATTAAGCTACTTTCAGTTGGGAGAGCGTTAGCGAATGAATTTTTCCTTGTGTTTGATCTTTGTATTAATAATTGTAACAAACCACTGGAGTAATTTCACAAAAAAATAATCAAATATCCTGGTAGTAAAATCGTGAAATTCAATGACCTTAATAATATTAAAGATATTTTGTTAAATTAGCATTGTAAAAAATGAAAAAGAGTGACTCAAAGACAGTTAGATTATAAGACTTATAGATGTTTATAATGATGTGAAAATCGTCAAAATTAAAACTAATAAGAAGACATTTACTTCAGCACATGAAGAGCATCTGCAATACTCAAATACAGAATCGGGTGAAACTACTTTACACGTCATCCGCAGCATGTTCAACGACTAATTAATGTGAGTGATTGCACCAATTAAAGACGACGTCTATACCTGCGAGACAGTAATAACAGCTCAAGTCGCAGTGCAATTAAACTAACGGGTGAAGAACCGAAGTATGAATAAAGTGACGATGTGAAGTATAGTAATATTAACAATGTAATATGCTAGACTATTTTGGAGGGAAAGATCGAGGGGAAGAGGGGAAGAGGTCGACCTAGACGCAGTTACATAGACCAAATAAATGAAAAGGCCGGTGTCGTGACGTATAAGGAGGCGAAGGAGCTGGCTTGTAAGAGATAACTAGAAGATTAGCAAAATCAGAAGACCAACAAGAGTATAACTCTTAAGTTTGATGATGAATGTGCTAGACAACCACACCAATTGCCAGGTCTCAAACTACAATGGAGTACCAGAACAACAAAATTCGCTCTAGGACATTTCAGACACCCAGACCAGAACCAATTTAGAAAAGTTTATGTCCCAAGTTGATCATACCGGGAACTCGGGACCTCTTCATCCAGCGCCCACAGTTATATCGTTGGGACACTGAGACCGTCAAAGCCAACGACAAGAACTAACGGATGAACCAACCCCGCAATGTATTTATTAGAATTGCTCTAAATGTAATAATGTAGTTGGAAATGAAGCTATTTTTCGGAGCTAAATTATATTTGGTTTCAAACCATCGAGTATATAACCAGAAATAGAGACGAAATGTCTTTCTATATGTTTGAAAACTATCTACTAACTAACTATCTTAAAGAACAAAACTACCAACCAAATGAAGTACTTTTTTTGTGGAAATCATTTTAAGGTTTTAAGTAACTTCCTGGCACAATTGAAGTGGAAAATCCAATATGTACGGTGGGGCCGAAGCATGATGGCAAGGATTCAGTAAAAAGTTTATATTCAGAACAGCCTATATTCAGATCTTATATGTAGCTAAGTAAGTCTGTGTTCCCGTTTTTCCCCCTTATCCCCCAATTCCCGCCCAAAACGTACCTGTGACACTAGAACACTTTTATATCCCCAATCCAACTCCAAATTCTTTCACAATTCTTTTACCGTAAGTGCAGCTCGTATGTGGAATAAACTACCTGCTGACATTCGTGACAGTCCATCGGTGGCATCTTTCAAACACAAATTAAAAGAGCACTTCCTGTCGAACACGTTAGATAGTTTATAGGTAACATATTTGTAAACAAATGATCTGTTATTATAATATATATTCTGCTTATGTATGTATTTATGTATATAAAGTTCATGTATGTGCATATGTCTGTCGTATGTATATTATTATCATTTATATTTTATTCACATTTAAATTTAAATTTTGTTGTACATTAATTAGTCCCGCAGACTTCATTTTTGCACCACGGCTAGGGTTGGCTGGAAGAGATCTCTTATAGAGATAAGCTCACCTCTGTATATGTCCATTGTAACGTGTGTTTCATGTGTCTTTTCTTTGTACAATAAAGAATATTATAAGTAGTAGTAATTTATTAATTTATGGTCAGGTTACAAATACCCATAAATACATACGTTATAGACTTAAGATACATAATAATAGAATCATCATTCAGTCATATGAGGCTACTGCTGGGCATAGGCTTCCCCCAACGATCTCCAGAACGATCGGTCCTGCGCCGCATCCATCGGCTTCCCGCGACTTTTACCAGATCGTCGGTCCACCTGGTGTGGGACCTACCCACTGAGTGTCGTCCGGTGCGCGGTCGCCATTGAAGAACCTTTCCGCCCCAACGGCCATCGGTTCTCCTAGCTATGTGCCCCGCCCACTACCACTTCAACTGAGCAATTCTTCGAGTTATGTCGGTTACCTTAGTACTTCTACGGATTTCCTCATTTCTGATTCTATCACGTAG